AGGTTGGTGACTTGTTGTTAGCACAATTTTTGGATCTGCAGCACCGGCATACCGATACTCATCATCTACCGTTGAAATTTCACCTGAACAATAACACCATTATAGCTAAACGATTAAGAAAGACGTAAAACAGATGTCCTTCCTCATTTCTGTTCTATCGTTTCGCAAAAAACAATTTCTGAGATTTAAAAACCATCATCCGATGGAAACTGAAAATGTTGCTAGAGCGGTCGTTCATCAAAAAATCCAAAAATGTAAATGAACTGGATGTTAGGAACGGATGAGGGTGGTCGTTCACTGCAAAATGCACTCGTTTCTGAGTTTGCGGTAAAGTTGTGTATTTCTGCAAAGCTTCACCTCCCCATTCAGCACTTTTCTGCAATTCCACTGCATCTTTTTTCAGATGTGTTGGTATTGGCCTATTTTCATCCACATATTTCTTCACCAACTGTCGTTTCTCATCCAGGGCACGCTGCGTCGCTTCCACACTTTTCCGATATATGTATTCACGTCGAAGCCGTGCTTCACGTCGAATCATTCTCTCCACAATACCTTTTTTTTTTTCTAAAAAAGCTATAATTAAACAACACACACAAAAATAAGCTATCAACAGGTCTGCCAGAACGTGGCTGCTGTTGGCACTTGCTAATACTCGGGCTATTTCCGCGTCTCCATCTTCCAAGAAGAGGGAATACGGAGAGGGTTTTGACTTTTTGAATTTCATTCCGATGAAATATGGGACTTCTTATCCTAAAAAAATTTTGTCCCCCAATGAATAGTCCTAGCAAATAAGACATAAAATCTAGCTAAAAAGTAAGACTTGATTGCAAAATTTGGCTAAAAAGATTTTAAGAGCAAAAAAATCAGGTCATATTTCGACTCGGAAAGGAAGCTCATGCATACTGAAGTACACAAAAGCTCCTTTTTTTTTCAGGATGGGATTTCATAGGTCTAAATTTTGTGAATTCACTGATATCCCACTAAAGAGCTTCTCAGCTGAGTAACACAAGTTGAAAGCAACAAAAATCCGCGAAAAAGCGACTGTAAAATTCAACAGATCACGTTTTTTTTCAAAAAAAAAAAAACAACTGCAAAATCCAAGAATCCTTTTTTTTTTTCAAGAAAAACAATAAAAAACAAGTGAAATATTCATGGTATCGCATAATCTCACAAGAAACGGGACTTGATTTTTCACAGTTTCATGACAGAATCAGCAAAAAAAAGTACTTGTTGTATACCAGAACAAGAACGAACACTGCTATATCATAAAACAGGAACGAACAGGAAAAGAACGGGAAATTCAACAAATTTTAAACCCTTTCTGGAATGCTGCTGCTCGAAGATAGTTGTAGATATAGGGGATTTTTCAAGTTGACAAAAAAAAAAGATAAAAATTAATTTTTAAGAAAATTAAAGAAGTCCACCAATCTAAAATAATGCAATCTAAAATCTCTCCGACACCTTTTTTGGAAAAAACAAGGAAGTGGGGAAACAAAAAAATACTTCGATCTAAACCATATTTTAAGTCCTTTTCAACAAGGATTTTATCTGATTTATGGGAAACAATCCATCAAATATGACCTTAAACAATAACGAACAGACAGAAAACCAGATTTATAAAATGCAACAAACCAGAAATTCAGCAAAACAAGGTAGATTTAAACGAAAAATAATTATAGAAATTAGCAAAAGCCGAAATGAATGAAACACCGAAATTTTCACAATAAAACACCACCGAAACACTTTTCCACACTTTCTAGCGATAAAGACAATCATGATTTTCAACGAAAATAATGATCATGGCAGTAAAAAGAAGAGAGCTACAGTTATGACGGTAGCACACAAGGAAGAAACATTGTGATAATAACAATGATAATAATAACAACAGAATAGTAATAATAATAATGACAATGATACCGGTAACAGTAATAATGAAAATAATAGTAACAATAATAGCATCAGTAATAATAATAATAATAATAATAATAATATATAATAACAGTAATAATAATGATAATAATAATATAATGATAACAATAATAATAACGATAATAATAATGACAATAGCAACAATAATGTTGACAATAACAATAGTAATAATGGTAATAATAATGATAATGGCAATAATAATAACAATAACGGTAAAAATAAAATTAATTATATAATAACATTGGTACAGTGCAGCAGTGATGATAAATATGAACCTTATCCAAGCCACTAAATTTCCGCAACAAATCAAATCAAAAATGCGGAAAGAGCTGGAGAAAAACAAAGGCACAATTGTGTTGCTACAACAACAAAGACAGAAAAAGTGTTCTCTGGATAAACGAGGCAATAAGTACTTGTTCACTTCTTAAAATAACCGAAGAAGTAAACAATGCTTAACTCGGTGTTATTTGAGGATGAGGGGGTAAAAAAGTGAGGTAACACACAATCATATCATCAAAATCGGGAGGATTTCAATGAACCAATGAGAGAAACAGAAGAAAAACCAAAAAAAAAAAAAAACGATAAAAAGCGGTCAATCGGTGGACTGACCCCAAAAAACCGGT